TGTAGACTAAATTAGCTTAAGCACGCACTGCTTAGGGAAGTGCCATAACTCATCCAGCCTTACAAAAGCAGCAAGACCTCAGCTGGGATTTGAGCTACTCGGTCTGATTCCAGTCCCCATGCTTCTAACTTGACGCTGTTGAGGTTGTCCGGCCAGGACCAACTGGCTAATACAGGCACCAAAATGCCATCTTCACTATATTAGCATTCTGCCCCGAAGGATTAAAGCACTGAGTTTAGGCTAGATGAGAATATTATAAATAACTTTCTAAACTTAGGCCAGGAAATGCTGGTGAGATGTGTGAAACATAGTTACCCTGCCCTTGCTGATTCTAGCTGACAAGTTTTGTCCTTTGTTTTCAGTAGGGTTGAGAAGATAACATTTCCAGAAATGTCATAGCAAAGATAAACATTACTTGTAGATACAGATGCAAATATTAGCAGATCAGGGGGCACCAGACAGGGGGTAAGGCAACTTGCTTGTTGAATGCTAGGAAACAGTTTACTAAAAAAATGTTATTCTAGCTTTTGGAATTATAATTATTAATCTTCTTTATTGTAGTTAGCTTATGTAAGGGGATTTATCATGCCTGAGAATTTAGAGTGTAAATGGATTAAACGTTGGGGCCTTTAATAATATGTCCTATGGTATTTGTCTATTTGCAACAAAAGTACACTTCCCTTTTCTTAGTATGAGGTGTTTGGTTCTAAAACATGTGTCCATCCTCAGCAGCCCCGAGATGAAAAAAAAAATTGCATTAGGACACATTACAAAATCATCTGTAATCAGTTACTTCTAAAACCCATCTTCCATCATTCATTTAATAGTTATTACATATATTATATTGAAATGTATAAGTATCTGATTGAACAGAGCCAGCTGGTTATATAGCCAGTGAAGTCAACTCTATACCCATTGACCTAAACACACCACAGAAACAGGCCCTAGTGCTGACCTGTAAGGCCCGCATAACAGGTCAGGTTTCCGGGAGTGACCCTGGGACCCTGCCTCTGAGCATTCTGGGGGAAGGTGGGCCACACCTGGTGTTGTTTGGGGATTTGTTCCGGTGGTTCTTAGGGGACCATGCACCACCCACAGTGCCAGGTATTGAACCAGGATTAGCCACATGCAAGGCAAGTGCCTTAACCCCTGTACTATCTCTTGTGCCTGTATAGTGATTGTTCTAATGGCTACATTAAAAATGCAAATGGCAACCAGAGCTAAGGCACTTGTCTTGTATGTGGTGAACCTGGGTTTGATCTCCAACACCTCATAGGGTTTACTCCTTGTTCTGCACTCAGGGATTACTTCTGGTGGTCTGGGACCATATGGGATGGCAAGAAGCGAATCCAGGTCAGCCAGTGCAAGGCAAGCACCTTACCGGCTGTACTGTCATTCAGGCCCCAGTCTGTCTGTCTGTCTGTCTGTCCTTCCTTCCTTCCTTCCTTCCTTCCTTCCTTCCTTTTCTTTTCTTTCTTATTTTTCTAAGCCTGGAGTATGTCTTGAAATTACAACCCATCTTATTTCAAACTGGGCTGGAGCAATAGCACAGCGGGTAGGGCGTTTGCCTTGCACGTGGCTAGCCCAGCCGAGCCAGGTTTGATTCTTCCACCCCTCTGGGAGAGCCTGGCAATCTACCAAGAGTATCTTGCCCGCATGGCAAAGCCTGACAAGCTACCCGTGATGTGTTCGATATGCCAAACACAGTAACAACTCTCAAAATGGAGACGTTACTGGGTCTGCTCGAGCAAATCCATGAACAACGGGAGAACAGTGCTATGTGCTTATTTCAAACTATCCACATTTTAAGCAATCAGTAGCTACATGTAAACAATAGCTGTTGTATTGGCTAGCACAACTGTGGAGTATGTGAGTATATATAGTTTATAGTCTTTGTCCAGGAAGTTAATTAAATCCTTGCTTAAACATAGTCAAGATAGTATTCACATTTTCAGATGAACAACAAAGTGTTTCAGTTTAAGGACATTACAATTCACTTATTGACAGTACTTGTCCATTACAGTGGTCCCTTCTTGCAACCAAGCTTCCGTGGCTGCCCAAAACTACAGATAATGCTGAGCACTAACTATACATGGTCATTTTTGTGGTGAAGTTTGCTTTTATAAGTTTAATACAGGGGCTGGGGTCATAGTATGGCTTTCAGGGTGCTTGCTTTGCACATGACCAACCTGGATTCCATCCCCGACACCCCATACAGCTCCCTGAGCATTGCCAGGAATAATTTCTGAGTATCAGTGATGTGGCCTAAAAACCTAAATAAATATAGGTAAAGGTAAAGGTAAAATCATTGTTCATCGATTTGCTCGAGCGGGCCCAGTAACGTCTCCATTGGAGACCTTGTTGTTACTGTGTTTGGCATATCGAATACGTCACGGGGGGCTTGCCAGGCTCTGCCGTGCGGGCAAGATACTCTCGGTAGCTTGCCGGGCTCTCCGAGAGGGGCGGAGGAATTGAACTCGGGTCAGCCATGTTGGCTGCGTGCAAAGCAAATACCCTACCGCTGTGCTAGTGGGCCAGGGAGATAGATGCAGAAGGCCCTGATTTGACCTCTCACGCTGCCTGGTCTCCTCAGTTTTGCTTGGAGTGACCCCATGAGCTCTGGTGACTAATTCCCAAAAAAGGGAAAAACAGTGAAATTTGGGAACTTGGCTGTCAGAGTTAAAGAATTAAATGATTTGGAACCCAGCGACTTTTTGGCAGAAATCCCTCCAGACTCAATTAGTAAAGTATCAGAAATTCAAAATCACACGGCCACTATTGCAGCCGAGTGACATCATATGGTCTTCATAACCAGCAATAGAAAACAAATTATTTCATGATACCTTTTCAGCAGGTTTGATTGTTGGGGAAAAACTCCAAATAATAATGGTGCACCTTTTGTTGAAATAATGAATGTAATCAAAGTAGAGAGAGAGTTAAGTGGAAATCATCTGCCTCACAGGCACGGGGAGGGGTGGGATGGGAGGTATATTGGGGTTCTTGGAGGTGGAAAATATGCTCTGGTGAAGGGATGGGTGTTTGATCATTGTATGACCGAGACTTAAACCTGAAAGCTTTGTAACTGTTCTCACAGTGATTCAATAAATAAATTTTTTTTTAAAAATTTTTGTTAGTGAGACACCATGAGGTACAGTTGTAGACTTACAAATTTTTGTGCTTGGGTTTCAATTACACAATGATCAAATACCCATCCCTCCACCAGTGCCCATTTCCCACCACCACGGATCCCAGTGTCCCTCCCACCCCCCATTTCCCCCTTGCCACCCTGCCTCTGTGGCAGGGCATTCCCCTCTGTTCTCTCTCTCCTTTTGGGTGTTGTGGTTTGCAAAAGAGGCAGTGGGTGGCAGTCATGTTTGGTCTACAGTCTACTTTCAGCATGCTTCTCCCATCCTGGGAGGATCCTCCCAACACCCTTTATTTGGTGCTCCCTTCTCTATCTGAGCTCCCTTTCCCCCTAGCATGTGTGGCTGGCCTCCAAGCCATGGGGTAAAATTCCTGGTACTAATCTCGGCCATTCTTGGGTGTTAGTCTCCTATTTTGTTACTTTATGTTCCCCAGATGAATGCAATCTTTCTATATCTATCCCTTTCTTTCTGAGTCAAATAAATAAATTATTTATTTATTTATTTATTTTTGTAGGGTAGGAGGGAAAGGAATAGAACCATACCTTCTACCCAATTATCCCTCTCAGACCTTGTTTTAATGTACCAAAGTTTAATTACCAGAACAGAAATAAATAAATTTTTTAAAAATGAATTAAACGATTTATATATGTGAAACTATAGCTATAAAACGTTATGCCTGCGAAGTATTAGTTTTATTTTTGTTTGCATGGTATTGCACCCAAGTTGAAAGAATTTGTTTGGGGCTACACTCAACAGTGCTTAGGGCTAACTCCTGAATTTTTTTTTGTGTGTGTGTGTGTGTATATGTGTCACACCTGGCGATGCACAGGGGTTACTCCTGGCTCTGCACTCAGGAATTACCCCTGGCAGTGCTTAGGGAACCATATAGGATGCTGGGAATTGAACCCAGGTCGGCCGCGTGCAAGGCAAATGCCCTACCTGCTGTGCTATTGCTCCAGCCCCTAACTCCTGATTTTTGCTCAGGGATCACGCTTGTTGATTCTCAGGGAACGGTATGGGGTGCCCGAGATTGAACCCAGGTCAGCTGAGTGCAAGGCATTCAACTGTACTATTTCTCCAGGCCCTTCCAAGTTGAAATTTTTTTATTACAATTTAAAATGTGCATATTATCATGCCAGCTCCGGAAGAAAGGGATACCTTCCTTGAATTCTGTTTTTTTGATTTGGTCTGTGAAATGTTGTGTATGCATTAAGTCTCTTTCATTAAAGATTTTAAAACTTCAAACAGAAATATCCTTTTTTTTCTATTGGTGAGTGGAGATGATGCAACATATTTCTGAAGCACCCAATCAAAGATCTGGGATCAAGCGTATATGCTCCTTTATTTAAAGATGGGTGAGGAGAGACCATAGGGAATTCTAGAAGCTGTTTCTGATTCAGAGCCAGTGCCAGGGAATGCTGGTAGTTGTGAGGCTGTGCCTTTTGTATTGGCCCTTTATCAGTGGCAGCTTAACAACAAGAAAACTGATTAAGATATATGTAGAGGAGGCCAACAGTGGTCCAGCCCTCACCGTCCTTTGCTTGGACTAATGTTTAAGGGTTATTATCTTGCTCAAGGCTGTGAGCATATCTACTCTTTGGGGGGCTGTTATATAAATAAATGGGCCTCTGGAACTACTGTCATTTACAATGTGCTGTTATCAGATCTTCTGTAGTATTAAAGAAAATGTGGAAATACAGTGGTGAGTGATGTATGCCTCTAAAGTGGCCCCTGTTCCACTGGAGCTGACTGTTCCGGTGATCAGTTCTGGAGTTTGTGAGCTCTTAGAATGTGTTCGTGTTTCCGATTAATAGTTGCTAATGTTGCTGCCTGTTTGTTTCCTGCTTTATTTAGGTTCCATGTCCTTAGCAAGCTTCTGAGCTTCATGGCACCTATTGACCATACTACAATGAATGATGACGCCAGGTGAGTAATAGATTAATTCTGTGTCTCAAATGGCCTCATGACAGCCTGATATTGACCTGCTCTACAGCCTGTCGCCCTCTCGGTTTCTTCTTATCAGTTACCCATTTGTCATTGGCATCATAGCAAGAGTCCTTGTCACGTCTCTCCCCTACCATAATTAGTGAAAAACCAAAACAGAATTTCCATGTCTCTCAGTGGTGCTTCTGGTGGGTTTTAGAGTTCGTGCTATTTTGTTTTGACTGTATGGTGAGCTACCTGCCCAGTGCGTCTGAGCTGGCCTCTGCGACAGAAAGGCCCAGATGGCGCTGCCCTTGCCCTCTGCACGGGTCAGTCTTGTGCATGTGCTGTCCTTTTGCAAAGGACTCTTTCAGAGGTCACTCTGGAGATGAGTATGTAGTTGTTTATTTGTTGTGTTTATTTGTTCAGGCAGACGTGGATTTCTTGTTGGGTTTTTTCCTTCTTTAGTATTTTAACAAAAGAAATACGTGCTCATTCTATAAAGCTGGGGGGAAAAAAAGGTGAAAATCTGTAAGAATAAAAGTATCTGTTCACCATATTACACGCACAGAGGCTATTCCTAGCTGGACGCTGAGGGTCTTTGAGGTGTAGGGATTGAGCCTGGGGCTCCCACATGTAAACACGCACTCCAGCCCTCTGAGCCAGCTCCAGAAATAACTGTTTTATTTGGGGGCTACACCCTGTGATTTCAGAGGGCTACACTTGGCTCCATGCTTGGGGATTGCGCTCTTCAGCGCTCAGGGAACCATGTGGTGCTGGAGATTGAACCTGGGCCTCCCGCATGTAAAGTAAAGCACATGCACAGGGTGCCCTATCCAGATAACCATTGTTTAACATGATCATTTCTTTGTGTTGTTACTTAGTGTTGTACCACTGTGAAGAGCTTTCCCTTCATTCACTTTATGTTCTCTTATATTGGAACGACTTCCCTATTTCACCCATTGAATTATATTTTTATTTAAGCTTGTTTCAGAAGCTTTTTCAGGCTGACTTGTGAGCTTTTGAGGTGTCGCCAGTTGTTCTCTGACTGCTTCCTTACTTCCTGACACAGGCATTCTAGAGTCATCTCATACACTCCAATGCTGGAATTTAGTCTTTCTCCAAGGAGAATTGTTTCCTTTTAGCCCATCATGTCCTTTCGAAACCAGGATCTGGATGCTGGGGTTGCTGGTTGCTCCTGAGTATCACCGTGTCTAGCCCTCTGTGCACTGGGGTGGAAAGTGTCTGCACACAAGCACGCCCACAGGCCATGACCACTCTTAACTTCTTGAAATAGTTCCTTTCGGTATTTCCTGCACGTTCTTGTTTTCCTTCTTTATATATTTAAGATTTTACTCTGTTGAGGTTTTTTTTTCGGTTGTTGTTGTTGGTTTTTTTGTTTTGTATTGTTTTTTACTTTGATTAGATTGTTTCGACAAAAGATGCACCATTATTATTTAGAGTTTACACCCCCAAATCAGACATGCTGAAAAGGCATTGCAAAATAATTTGTTTTCTACAGCTGGTTATAAGAATCAAATGATGTCGCGCGGCCGCAAAAGCCGCGGATTTTGGATTTCTGGTATTTTACTTATTAAGCCTGGAAATATTTCTGCTGAGAGTCAGATAATTATGAGATTGGTTTCTGTGGCTCTGGAGCCATGGCCGTGCCGGAGAGCCGCTCAGTAGGGCGTGAAGGATGAGCCGGGTACGCCCCCCTTCCCATGAGGTTTCAGTCGCCCTGTCACGACCGGCTCATACCTGGCTTTCCATAAAGCTACGAAGCGGCTGCCATCTTTCTTTCCAGAGTGTTGTTGTTGTTTTAACTGTCTTATATGCTATGAGCATTTTCATGTCATTGGGATTTTTCAGGGGGACCAGAGAGATCGTCCAGGTGGAGGCCTGAGTTCTCTTCCCAGCACTTATGGCTCCCCCTTGCCCGCCCCCCTCCACATCCTCCCGCTCCCCCGGGGCACTGCCAGCCCACCCGTAGCTGGGAGTGGCTCCTCAGAAAAGATAATACCGAGTTTCTTGCTAAGCTAAGTAAACTGTACTTTAAAATTCCTGGTTTTTGCTTGGGGGCAGCATCTCACAGTACGCAGGGGCAGTTCCTGGTACCACTCTGGGAGTTGCTCCAGTGCTTGGGGGACCACGTGGTGCTGGGGATCGAACCAGATATTTGCCAGGGGACGCATTTAGTCACAATATTGTGGCTCATGTAGATTTTGCTATGTTTATTCCTCAACCACATTTAGTCTTTTTATTTGATAGTATGTATTGTTTGCTACTAACTATATCAGATTTGCTCCCCTTGTCTGGAAAATATTAGATCTGCAAGTTTAGGTGAATGTGATTATTATTATTTCTGTTATTAGTATTATTTTTGCTGTGTTCAGTTCTTTGACTATAATAGAACTCATGATGGGTTTGATTGCTCTTATACTCAGCCTTTGTGACCTCATATACTCTCAACAAATGCCTGTGTATGGCTGCCTTTTCCATTGATTTATGGGTCTGCTCTGTTTTTTAAAAATTAGAGTAGAATGAAAAAAAAATTAGAGTAGAATGAGTGCATTGTATATTCTGTGTTGGAATGACATGAAAAAATTACACCAACAAGAAAGGAAAATTAGGTGCTTAAAAACTTAAGTTGAATCCATTAAGGTAACATTATTATCCCAGGCATAAAATAAAGCCTCTTTTAAATAATAGTGGCATCTTTTGAATACAGTATTAGTAGGTCATTTAGAAACAAATTTTTATAAACTCTTAGTTAAGACTTTTTTCAAATCACTTAACACTCTTGGGGCCCTCATCTTTCTAATGTTTTATTTATTCACTCATAATTCTTATTTGAGGGTTTTTACCATACCCAGTGGTGCTTCACGGCTACTCCTGGCTCTGTGCTAGGGGGTGACTCCTGACTATTTAGGGACCATCCACGACACTGGGGATCAAACTGGGACTGCTGCATGCAAGCCAAGTGCCTTAGTCCCTGCACCGTCTCTCTAGCTTCACTTATAGTTCTTGAGGGTATTTTAGACCTAAAGATGACTTTAAAGGTAAAGGCCCTCCCGTTGATCGTCGATTTGCTCGAGCGGGCCCAGTAACGTCTCCATTGGAGACTTTGTTGTTACTGTTTAAAATGATTATTATTTCGGGCTGTGTTGCCGTTGGTCTGCAGGAAAAATAAGTCCTGATAACAGGGGCACATGCAAGCAGAGACACAGCAGGCAGTCATTGGCAGTGATGATGGGGCCCAGCATCTCTTGGCCTTTCTCACTTGGTCTACTCAGCATCAGCTAGTGAGTGTGCATTCAAGGTAGAAAGAAGAGAAAAGGAGAGGTGCTAGCCATACCGGTTTCCTTTTATCATAAAAGTCAAATCTTCCCCGGAATTCCCATCAGCAAAGTTACTGTAGCTCATTGGCTGAACAGTGTCACACTGACACTTTATTGGAGTGGGTCGGGAAAGGCAGAAGTGTTGGGAATGTGTTGATTAGGTAACAACCCTTATGGTGTTCTCTGTTTAGGGGACAAAGACCAGCCCTTATGGTGTCAGCACTTTCTTCAGCTGAGCCAGCCACCTAAGGAATCTGGTGGAAGTCATACAGTACAAAAGCTGAGCGCTCATTTCTACCCACATGTACTGGTTACTTCCTGTTCCCTCAGGACCAGAAGCATGCACGAGGTCACTGAAGAATGAGGAACTTTCATGATTGTAGACTATCTGTATCAACACACACTACTTCTCACAAGCCAAATAGCTTTGGTTTTGCTCAGCTATCAATGTCATTTTTGGTGCGCACATATGAATAGATAATGTCTTTCGATGATTTTAAGTAGAGAAGGAGCAAGTATGACACCAAGGGCAGAAACCCTCAGGGAAGTTATTAGTAGATCTGACTACGTAAATGTCATGCTGCAAACAAAGTTCTGAGTGAAAAATTAGACATCAAAGACAAAGTTCTCTGCAAAAGTTCAGTGTAATGAGGGAGTAGGTGGACAGGATATGGCAGGGGCATGGGCATGGGATGGAGGGATTATGAGCACTTGAGTGTTGCCAAGGTGAAGTAACTGTGCACCAAGACCATAAATATCCACACCATTGTAAACACATTGACTGTAATTAAAAAAATTTTGAACCCTAAAAAGTAAAGACATAATCTAAAGTGTGTCATTTGGCAAGAGTTTGAAGAATAGGGCTACAGAAAAGGAAATAAATATGCAAAGAGAGCAAAAATGAAAAGTTTCAGTGTAGTACATTTTTCTTTATTACTATGTAGTAGGGCTGGAGCGATAGCACAGCGGCAGGGCATTTGCCTTGCACACAGCCAATAGGCCGACCCGAGTTCGATTCCTCCGCCCCTCTCAGAGCCCGACAAGCTACCGAGAGTATCTCGCCTGCACGGCAGAGCCTGGCAAGCTCCCCGTGACGTATTCGATATGCCAAACACAGTAACAACAAAGTCTCCAATGGAGACGTTACTGGGCCCACTCGAGCAAATCGATGATCAACGGGAGGGCCTTTACCTTTACCTTACCTTTACTTTGTAGTAATTCTATATAAAGAATTATTTTGACCACAGAGATGGTAAGACACTTGCCTTGCATGCAGCTGACCTGGGTTTTGATCCCTGGCACCCTATATAGTTCCCAAGCACCGCCGAAACTAATTCCTGAGTGCAGAGCCAGGAGTAAGCCCTGAGCTTCTCCGGATATTACCCTACCACCAACAACCCCCTCCTTCCCTCCTACCCCCCCCCCCCCCCACACACACACACACTACTGTTTTGGAAAGATCTCCAGGTTATTGTGTGAACTGGAAGAACAAACAGTGCTTGTAATATCATCCGTTTATGTTTTTTAAATAAACTTATGTGTATATATACACATTCATACATACATGTACACATATATGTATTTTTGTGTTAACAATGTTTATAAAAATTTCTCTAAAGTAATTTTTGTTTTTTTCAGGTTATGTTTGTTCTCTGTTTTTTT